CCTACACCATTCCGGACAAATGGCTGCCAATCTCTTCTTTAAAACCTGCAGTGATGGAGCACTCACACTAATTAATTGTTCCCACTGTTAGGAAGTTTCTCTTTAATTCCAGATTGCTTCTCTCCTTGATTAGTTTCCATCATTTGCTTCTTGTCTTGCCTTCAAATGCTATGGAGGATAGGTTGATCCCCCTCATCTTTGTGGCAGCCCCTTAAATTCCCCCAAAGTGAGTCGATGTGCATATTTGGCCACAAACATTCCTCCTCAGCAGATTTGTTTTACCACTCTTCTGGTCATATTTAACTGAAAGCTAGATTCTAGCTTCAATCCTAGGCAGTTCTAATGCTATTTCATTTCCCATTTATGTGCTAAGAATATTGGCTACCATCCCATGCACAGTTTATGCACATGCTTAAGCCCCAGTGAAATCAAAAGGAGCTTAGAATACATATGGGTTTGATTTTTATAGCCATTAAGTTTAAATAATAATGTAGGTGCTTAATTCCCAATGAGCTAACTCAGAAACCCAGTGTGTGTTTTTTCACTGCAGAGAGGCAATAAAATCAGACAGATTTCATGCGAACTGATACTATTTACACATCATTTTTACCCCCAATAAGAATTAAACAGTTGCTTGAAACTTTCATGCTCCTTTGTTTTTAAACTAAAAATTAGCAAATCATTTCTGGCTCTATCTGCTTGGATCATTGAGCTCAAATAGCACAATTAAACTTAAACAAGAGGAAACAAACTGAAAGTAGAAACTGGAAGCTGTTTCAAAGAGGGAGCAACAGGTGATTAATAGGTGAATTAGGTGAAATAAAACACAAATGCACACAATACATGCACACAGAGAAGGCAAATAAGGTGCAAAACACTGACCTAAGAAAACTGGCAGCATTAACTAATCACAACCAGGAAGTGTTGCCTTCAAGCACCAGAAAACAGTGATGTTTGCCCTACAATCTTTAGCCTCCAAATACTGAAAAAGGATGTAAAGAGCATCACTTGGTTGGCCCAGGCTTAGCAGATGACCTCAGCCAGCAGCTTCAAGTAGATATTAAACAGAAGTAGGGAGACCATTAAAAAAAAGACCTTGGTTTAGATCTCTTCCCCTAATTACCATGTTTTAAGCCACCTAGAGGCAACCAAGATGGGTAGCATATAAATTTAATTAATGAATAAATAAACACTAAGTAGAACTGACCCTGGAAGAAGGAGAACCATCATATTGTTCCTGCACTCTCAACCACCTGAGGTAAACCAGAAGGATATTATGACACTGGTTTTGAATGTCATCCAGAGATAAAGAAGAGCAAGGATGGATTTACACCTCAACCTGCTCCTGCCAGAAGTGTGATCAATGTTTTCCTTGCCACATACTTGAGTCTGAAATTTGATTGAAAGGGAAAATGGGGGAGGACAAATGAGGTCCATAACAGTTGGGTCCAGTGCAGTGGTGGGATTCATTTTTTTTTACTACTGGTTCTGTGGGTGTGGCTTGGTGGACATGGCATGGCTTGGTGGGGGTGGCAGGGGAAGGATACTGTAAAATCTCCATTCCCACCCCATTCCAGGGAAAAGATACTGCAAAATCCCCATTTCCTCCCAATCAACTGGGACTCAGGAGGCAGAGAACAGATGGGGGTGGGGCCAGTCAGAGGTGGTATTTACTGGTTTTCTGAACTACTCAAAATTTCCACTTCCCGTTCTGCGAGGGGGCGCAGTGGTTAAATGCAGCACTGCAGGCTACTTCAGCTGACTGCAGTTCTGCAGTTCGGCTGTTCAAATCTCACCGGCTCAGGGTTGACCCGAGGTGGGTAAAATGAAGACCCGGATTGTTGTTGGGGGCAATATGCTGACTCTGTAAACTGC